GCATATGTCAAAATTTTGTCATCGCTAAACACTGAGCTTAAATTTATAATTGTTCAACATAAAACACTTAAACAATCACTATATCCATTTTCATGGCAACGATTTTTGACACAAATTCGTGTTCTCTATTCTGCTCATTCTCAAACTGTCACTCACGAAGACATTTGATTAATCAATTGATCTCACCAATTGATAAACTAAAGAACCATTAAAGTCATGAAAATACATGCATAGCCCAATCAAGATATCTAGGTGAAATATTTGACGAGTAAGTAAATTTTAATTATCCACAAGGTTATGCTATAAAATTAAATTCGACACATGATTTCTTCAATACACTTCAAGTATATTAGTGTCACCTTAACTATTTCCGTGTAAGAACAAATTGCAGACTCGAACAGTGGTTCAATTAACAATACAACCTACTCGTACAGCATATCAACTTTTATACATTAGCTGTAAATTTTCGCAGAAGCACCTAACTTTTGTTATCACAAGAGATCATTGAAAATTTATATGCTCAATATAAAAACCACAATTTAATTATTATCAACAAAACTATAGTATATGCACACATAACCTAACATTATTAACCTCCAACAATTAATAAAATTTAATGAATCAGATCATGTTCTATATGCGTAATTTAATATTTTTGTATATAATAATTAATAAAAAAATAAAAAATATATTATCATAATCACATTCTTTGGAGAAACACTATCTAGAGTAGCATGTTTCTTTTCAAGTGTCTTAATCTGGAACTTTATATCTCGGAGTATCATGTGAGTTACAACACGGATGAAACTTAAAAGATCAAGAAGAGAAGTACATGAGTCAGGGCACCTAATTTATCTTTGTTAGATAAAGGGGTCATCATCCGTTTCTTCTTTGACTTTCTCTTCATGAAGGGAACCCTAATTTATATTTCGCTATTCCAGGTTTCATATAACTTTTTCTTGATATTGGGCTTCTCATATTTCTTGTATTTAATTTTTAATTGGAGATATGTACCATCATTGCATTTAATTTTTTATTGGAAATGTAAAGCTTATTTGTAACTTACCGACAATAAATTATATAAGATTAAATTAACATGATGAAAACCTTCAAACTATCTGGGAGTACATAGTGGCATTAGCAAATATACATAAAATAATTTTTCAGTTAGATGTTCTACAAATTAATAACCTCTACTCAATAATAAATTATTGCGCAACGATCTTATTAATTTAAAGAGGCCAAACTGTATTATGAATGACTTCGTTTTCTTTCATAATATTGTCCTCTACTTTACCAAACAAGTTAAAACGACATAAGCAATAAATTATATTAGACATAATAGGATAGGTTAAGAAAGAGTGAAGTGTAACATTGTACATCATTTTTTATTTAATCAAGTTCAATATACCATACCATACCATGTCATGTTAGCGATAATGTCTAATCCCATTGTCCATACGTAATACGTATACCTGTATAAATTCATAAAATAAGTATGATCCTAATCAAAACTTATTTTGATGGGTTAAAGACGCTTATATTATATGAAAATCTGATAATATTTCATTCCATTATTTCATAATATTCTATATTAGATGACCTTTAAGCAAAATATTCTACACCAGATGACTTTATTAAAAATAGGAAAATTTACAGCGGAAGTCTCAAACATTTCAAAAAAAAGTTCAATGTGGTCTCAAACCTTTCGATACGTTCCAAAACTTTAAAAATGTGCAATAGAAGGATCTATGGAAGGTTTTCGACCAAAAATTCGTTAGTTGACCAAAATTAAAATATTTCACCAAATTTAAAAATGACAAAATGGTAAATCTATATTTTCTATCTTGAA